AGCCAAAACTACAGAGTTGGTATTCAGCTGCTAACTAGGTCATAACGTTCCCTAGTTTGAGGGAGTTAATATTCTGTTCACAAACCGTTATAAATGCTACGGTCTTCATTAAACGGAGAAATCTGAGATTAGCCGAGAACTAGCGGATGACGACGAAATTTCAAATACCTTGCCCTAGTACTTTGTGTGGGACATCGTTTCGAATTTACATCTAAATATTGCACGAAGCTGAGCAAATATTTGGCATACAATGAGCCACATTCTTGCAGAATTTGTTTCACTTCGAAGCTGCCAACGATAATTTACTCGGTGGTCAGATAGATAATCCTGGGGCTTTAATGTATTGTGGATTGGTGGGCTTTGCAATACAGTTACATTTCTGTTCGCGTAACCGAGAACATAAAGATTGTGAAGACGACAATATCCTCTGGTTTGTTGATGAAATGCAACACGTTTTCCTGGACCTGCTCTCACCAGTTTTCCTTGAGCCAAGGGCACTCGCGACCTCATCCGGCATTGTTTGATATCAAGATAATAATTTTGGAGTGGAAGCGGTTGATATGAGATTTGACTCGCTAGATTTAGTTGTGTGCCCGCTGTCATCCGGAAAAACGCAGGCAGCAAGTGACAGCTTTTGGTGTCACTACATATTGTTTATTAATAAAAGGGCGCCCATATTTTTGTGTGTCTTGCACTCTTTATCTGACACCGTGGCTCTAGTGCGAAGGGAAGATGCCTTTACAAGCCCCATGATATAGAGAGAGCCGATGGATCACACCAGTAACTGCTAATGTTCGCAGAAGACTTGAAAGTGTAGAGAGTAATCCGTACACCAAATGATTGTGACCTGCTTCATCAGGAACTCAACCGACTCTCCATGTGGTCTACTGAGATCAACCTTCCGATCAACCCGGTCAAGTCGCAATTCATGAGATTGGGTAAGTGTGAGCATAGTCAAAGCTACGCGGTGGCCGGTCAACCGTTACATCCTGCAACTTTCGTGCGAGACTTCGGTGTACTCACACGATACGACCTAAAGTCCATGGACAACACGAAAACGCATTACCAAAACAGCTTCCGTATGCTTTGGGCGCACAGGCGCAGGATCAGCACTTGGTCCGAAGAGATTGTCACTCACCTCTTCTTCTCAATAATACGACCAATGCTAAAGTATGGCTCTCACGCGTATTGTCCTATCACCCGGGGTGAGGTAGCAATGATTAAGCGAGTGCAGCATCTAGCCACCAGGCTGAATCCCAATTTACATGGTGTGCCATCCGAATACCGGTGTAAGAAACTAGGGCTGCACAACCTAGCTTATCGTCGAATGCGGATTGACCTCATCATGATGTACCGGATAGTAGATCTGGGTGATTAGCCTATGTTGAGACTGCTGCTTCATCTGCGCACACCAAGCAGCACACGAGGACACCGGTACATGCTTGTCGTACCGGATTTTAAGCGGGTCACTCACCAACTCTGTTTCGAACACAGAATGGTGAATGTATGGAACAACTGGCCGCAGCACGTAGTTGAGGCAAACTCGGTGTCGGAATATACGAACTTCCTGGACAAACACTTTGCCGATATAAAATATTTCGAGCGGACCCAGCATAACGGGTCTTCGTCCCTGATTGACATTAGATGCAGCTACACGGAGATATCTCTTCTTGCTGCTTCCAGCCTGTAATCAGTAATCTCCCATCATTGCACTCCACGACGCATTCCGTCTTGTTCGGACTCATCAAACCTGCTTGCGGAGCCCACTGGCGATGGCCACCAACCACTACGTGTCGTTTCACTCCCAGCTCGGCTATCTCTGCGTGATGGATCTAAACCAGGACGAAACCGTCTGTCGTGAAGTGAAGGGATGGGAGAGAGCCACAACGAAACCCTACACTTCGATGACGATCCCAACCATCGTATTGGCGGAGGCAGACTTAAAAGTCAACCGATGCCGCAACTGAGATTGCGTGTCGCAATCCAAAACACACGGCGGGTGGTCAAAACCCCGACAATCAAATTCTAACCGCTGTGTCAAGTACTGCTAGCGGAGCTCAATGATCTAGTGATCATGGCGATAGCCGCCAAGCACTATGAGCCGGGTTCTACTCTGAACTCTGTTATCTCTAGCTGCTGAGTCCGAACCAGGGCAAAACCCCTGATCGTGAAGTGCATGGATAGGAGGGAGCCACACTGAACCCCCAAGTTTGGATATGGTTGCAATGATCGGAATGGCTCAGGTTAACTTCAAAATCAACCGAGGCCACAACTGAGATTGCATGTCACCATTCAAGCTGCATGACAGGTGTTCTGAAACCCGACAGACTCTGACAACAAGTTAGCCTTTTAAAACCTATCTGCAGTTAGTATCCCGTCAATCCAGTGAGGAGCACGAAAGCCTGACCCGACTTTTCCAATCAAAGACCCATGCGTCTTGGCCACAATGGATTTAGCTTGTCGGCAGGATCACGAGAATCGTGCTGACCTAACGCGACTCCCTATATATTAAACGGCACATTGAGAAAGTGCAAAAGTGCAGGTAGGTCCATAGGAAACGGTTACCCGCAATCCTATTTACCAAGCTACCTACGGTAGTATGTACAGTCTATGCAGAATGCTGTGTACTGGGAATAGTGTGGAAATTTAATCGGTTCCGACGGAGTTCATCCCACCTACCCTACGGGGTTGGAAACATACTCAAAGGCTGACTTCACTTTCGGAACATAGCATTAATGAGGTTTTATGGCAAGTTCCATCGCGCTTACTGTCGTTGTGAATCATCTAGCAAAGACGGGATGGGGTAGGCTTGAAAATAAACGTCCTCTCAGGTTTGCCAATTCGATTGATAGTGAGTAGATGGTTGATATGTAATGGTCTTGAGAACAGACTACCTTCGCTTGCAAATCTCTTAGCCTACCACGCATCCGGATAAGCACCGTACAGCCGTTTCGTTCTGTTGGGACTCGTACGTTGTGTGCATCCATCGGATTTCATAAGAAACCTAGCTTCGGAGAAGAATCTTGACCTCCGCAACGTTTGTAAGTTGCATCGCGGCAGTGGATGAGTCACTCGATATTGTGACGGTTTTCCGCCGTCGTCCGTGACCTAGTGGTATATGCTTCCGGCTTGAGACGGAAGTCGTTACTTCAGAAAACTCATGTGTTTAATTCATGATAGAGTCGGAGGACACACACCACTGAGGAGTCCCAATCGAACGAAACGTCAGTCTAGAGATACTCAAGATGCGTGGTAGACTATGCGGTTTGGAAGGTATGGCGATGAACTCCAAATATGAGTATCCTTCCTTCAAAGTGCTCTTCAAACTCTAGACCTTTGGTATTTGTGATACGCTCCTAAAGCGGATCAGAAGCTGTCTGCTACACCGCGCTTGGAGGCAACAGTGCCTGAATCGCTATCAGATCCAACCGAAGTTGAATGCAAAGTACCACAGTGATCGGTACTAGGACCGTGGTTATGTTTGACGCTTATAAACGACGTTGCACGTTTCATGAGACCGAAATGCCTGATCTATGCTGATGACATCAAGGGGTGGAGGGCGATCAGTACATTAGGTGATATTATCTTACTCCAAACTGATTTCAGTAGGATATTTGCGTAGCCAATTCAGAATCAACTTCGATTCAATGTGGGCACATGTAGAGTGCTGCACTTACAGAACCAGGTGGTGTGCTCCTGCGAATTCGGCAACCAGGAGCTTCAAACGTTTGCTGGCGAAAAGGATCTGGACGTTTTGATCCAGGCCGACGGATTTTCGAATCAGGCTGAGCATGCGGCAAGATGGGGTATCCAACACGTGGGCCTACTGAATCGTGCATTCGGACGATTTGAATCATCGAATTTTCAACAGCTTCTTTGTTCACACCTACGTCAATATGTGGAGTACGCAATACAGGTTTGGTAGCCATGGCAAAGGAAAGATCTTACCACCTTTGAGACACCCCAAGGCCTGGCAAACAAGCATGTCAAAGGCTATTAAAAATTGTGTGAATAAAAGTTACTAGTTTTCGGGGTTTTCAGCGAACAAAACCGACATTTGCGCAGGAGATTATTCTGATCTACCAGATTTTGATATAACCGAAACCTACGTGCCGCGATTTGCTGAAGCTTATTCACAACAGTAAGCTGAGCGGCCATCATCTTAAGCTGCCACAACAGTACATTCGTTTGGAATGCCATCGAAATTTCTGTTCCCTTTGCCAAACACAAATGCCTACCGGAATCTGTCATCTGTGCTCCGACCCAGGTAGAGTTCAGAGTCCGAGTTGAACGTGCACTCATTCGCTGCACCACCACACATGACTCAATGCCCATGCCTAAACACGAACATCTGTTAGAGATCTCATTGCCTGTCAACTCCCAGGATACGTTCTACATTTTTCACGTTCCATATATGTTCAACAGGAGGTGACACGATTTCTACCAACGTCCCCTTTGTCGTCATCTCTTATAGTTGTTAAAATGTATTTTTAAAACGTATACCGCATTGAGTCCACCAGTGTGAACATAATTCTGCTGGTAATATTTCCACACTTTGCAGTATTCACCATGACCATCCTACGGGAGCTGGTAAACTTTAGCGTATGTACATTATAAAACCATTGTTTCGCTGTTGCGAAGTAAAGTCCACATAGATGCACAATGACCCTAACAAGTGGATACAAAAATCTGTGTAGTACGGCATGAGGAACTTGTCTGCGTTTACTTATCCTTTTACAACCAGGAATTAGCACACAATGTGACTCAATCCATACGCTTTGTGCAAACGGTCGGCACAAGTGAGTGAACGACTGGGCATGGATTACCCAATGGATCGATCTTGCTGATGGCGAAGAAGCACAGGGGCCCCGAAACGAATGAAGCAACGAAAAATATATTATAGTCCTAATGAATATCGAAAAAGCTACTGAATGTGAAGACACCCAGTCTAGACACAGGAGAAAGCCATCGAAGTACACAAAACCTATTGAACGAACGGACGAAATTAGTACGGTACAATATTTGAACCGGAAAGTGCAGGCTGGTCGAGCAGCAGGCAAACAATGGGAAGACGTATAAGCAACAGAGAAGGATCACAGATGAGGAATTTGTCTAATTCAAACTGGACTGTTCGTTCTTGGAAAACGGATATCGATTTGGGGGAGGAATGACGCTCATCTTTGGGGAGATGGAGCTGAGGAAGTCAAGAGTGTTTATGACGTGTTGTGATGGGTTTGTTGGTCGTCGGGAAGATGGAAACACATCTGAAGGCTTCAGAAACGATGAGTGATTATTTGCTATTTTGGAATCCATTTTGTCGGAAGGTGGTGCTTCAGTTAACCCCCAGACCTGAGACTGTTCAGAAGATGGCGCTGGTGATGGGTCAGTGGGATGGGCTAAGAGGTTCTCATCGGGAATCAGAAGTAAGGTGTATGAGTTGCCCAGACATCTACCGAACACGGGGTTGGCACTCCTTGGGGTTTGTGATGCGGTGGTTGACGTGTTCCGTTGCTCCGTCCCCTGAAGACGATAAGGACACAAAAAGAAGTGAAAAAATGGACGAACGTTTTGATTGGGTGTATACGATACCGTAACGCAGTACGGACACTCAAATTCATGGTTATACATGATAGTGAATGAGATAAAATCAAGCAATCTGTAATAAGGAACTCTCAGTTCATTATTTCAGTGCTGCGGAGCAATGTTAGGTACTCGGATAGGTTTCTAACGTTACACGCTCCCTTTGGTAGATAGGTATATTTTTACGTAGATCAGTTGTTTAAGCTAATACACGGTTTTACCAATTAGGGGTGTAAAGTTTGGGGTCTAGGACACAGGCTAGCAAACCAGTAGTCGGTGTTCGACCAGCTAGTGGATGTTGAAAATATTCGCTTCCCTCATCAGATTCAAACGACTTTTGTAGTTGAGGAGTCTACTATCACAGTTGTGATCAAATGTGTGTTCAAGCAGTCAGTGTGCTTTCTGAAAAACTATGTCAGGTCTACTGTCTAGAGCCCGCAACGTGTCCCACAAGTTAAGGTCAAGTGAATGAAATATTTGCTTAAACCTGAGATGGATCGGAGATATACACAAAGGTACAGCACATAACTATGGAAAACACGGAAACCGTGATGTGCAGAGTGTGCGCTGGTAAACTGAGTGGTCTCTCATCAACCGTGTAATCACAACCCAACACGTTGCACGCAAGGGTTCCACGCTGGCATCCTTGCCAATGATTAGCCTACGCTACATTATTGTCAAGGTATTGGAAACATCTAGTAAAGACGCGCTGCGAGTATCACTACTGGGTTTTAACTCATAGACACGAAATAGGTTGACGGATAAACTTGCACCCAAAAAATGTGACGTCATGTTTCTGCACTTATTCCATCTGAAATCCTTGGTAAATTAACACAGTTTTTAAAATTTTCTTCTCATTTTCTTTAGTTAGACGTCCCAGGGAACTTTCACCTATTTGCTTAATGGAATGCAGAACGCATCAATAATTTTGCTTGGTTTACGGAGAACAACAGGGCATGTTTTCATCCATCACCAAACAGCCCAAGCTACTTGGCACGGAAAACTAAACTACCTACTTGGGGATGTTTTCTCGGATCGGGAAGAGGTTTGGTCAAAAAAGAAAGATTTTGGGAAAAACGCTAACATCTGTTCTTTCGGGATGTTGTGTAAAAACACTGGGACGATTTCGGAGATAATGAAACAGGCATCAGAGTAAATAAGCTTTTTACCAGTGGAGGTTGTCACAAGATAGCAAGTAAAAGTTCTCCATATTAGTAGTGGCAAGTCGGACAGCTTAGTGCAAGGATGAAGAATTTGTTGGAGTCATTAAAGAAGAGTAGAAAGGCCATTTATCCGTAGGATATAACCCAGTATCTTTGACGGCTAAGTGGCCAAAGATGAACCATTCCGGTAAAGCGAAAAGAATCGCAGCAAGCTGGTTCAAAATGTCAATAGAGTCAAAACGGTACTGAAATTGTGGGTCAGTCAGAAGTGTGATGAACAGATAGAGAAGTTCCAACAGAGAGGTCCAGAAAAGCGTCTAATCTCATCGAATTGGTAGCCAGGCCTAGGTTAGCCGTAATTGTTATATGCGATTTAATGCTGAGGAGAAAATTACGTGCAAGCGCTTTCTTCAGAGGTGCGCAAAATAGTGAATGAAGAAAATTATCACCAACGCGACCAAACAATGTGGAGCTCTTCAGTCAGCTTCCGCGCCACAAACGTGTGATTGTCTCCCTTGCGGACAAGTTGGTCAATACGAATGCCGTTATATAAATACATAATAAGTCAAAAACTCAGCTAGATCAAAGGCTATCTATCCTGTTAGTGCGGAGACGAAGTTGACAACTGCGAGAGAGGGAATAGGCACGAAAAATGTTCCTGGCGTAGCCTTACGGAAAGGTGAATGCGGTGACAACACACCTCAAGTGAATCCAGTTAGATTTATTCTTCGGGTACAGGGATCGTACGCAGCACACAAAATCAGTCGATCTAATGAAGTCTATGGTTACAAAGGAGTTAAGAGAGAGCTCGAGGTACTTGGTTGGTTAGTTGCTGGTTTTTATTGAAATCACATGGCGAAGGTTCAAATGACGTAAACACAACAGAATAGCATGAGAAAATTCCTACTGTAGAATGCGAGCCATGCTTAGTGACAGAAAATTCTACCTTTCGGAGTACCAAAAAATCCTGTGAAAAGATCCTAGTTGAAGCTTGAGAGAAGTGAAAACTACTCACACTGCCTAGTGGAACGTTGATGTGATCAACAGAGTAAAAAAATGTATCTGAACGGACATTCAATTGTCCATCTCGTTTAGTTGTTGGGTGACAGAGCAACTGAGCTACTCTGCTGCAATGAAGAGATAAACCGCAAAAACAAAGGCAAAGATAAGCCAAAAAACTGCACAGTTGGCTTAGAAATATGTAAAATTTAGCGTCACACTAAGTAATTTACTCTATTGCCTTGAGTAGGTAATACCCTAGGTGGGAAAGCCAGATATTGAAAAGACCAAAGCCTGTACGCTTCTCTAAGAGTAAACAACAGGATTACGTAGGTCAGCATGCCCCAGGCCGGAACCATTTTAGGTAAATGCTTAATCGAAAAAGTAGTTTGCAAATTTTCACTGCTCCATAGTGCTCAAAATCAATATGACAGCTATTCACTCCCAATGAGCAACCGGCAAAATTGTGAGATATAAGGCGGAATGTTCAATATGTATGGGATATCAACCTACTAACGTATTGGATGCGAGAGCATGAAAGTTTCAACAGATTGACTGGTTCAAGTTGCGCCTTCTTCTTCAGCTTATCGCGCATGTAGTTTGCACAACGTTGAGCATGCTATTTTTAAGCTGGTAAAGATGAGTGGATAGACAATACGTTTGATAGGGACTGGGACATAGTGGTATATACCGACAAAACATTCTGGGCCGTTGTAACTTGTCTTTGGCATTGTGGAATCCCTAATCCCAGTGGAAAAGCGGTCTACTCAGTGTACAATACCCGTACACAACGGGGGGGAGCAGAAATATCAACATCAGCATCAGCGCAGCAGTACACCAGCCATTTGATCAGATGCCTCTGTGCCGTAAAACCTTACTAGCTGTTCATTCGTAAATCTATCCAGTCAGACGCTCAACTAAAAGCGACGCGATGCGGATCCGTCTGCATTCCACATTCTGACGACCGGCAACAAGGGACAGGTCAAAAATAGCTAATGATGAGATATGAAAAGTAACCTTTCGCAATGTCCATTTTGAGATGAATTCGTATAAGATCGAAACGTATCGTGATCAACAGATCGTAAAACATAGAGAGTATGATGTCACAGGTTCCTCACCAAAACGTTATACATCACAGCATCGACGTAAAATAACTTGTGTGCCAAAAGTACCTGTCTAAGTGCATCGGACCAGGGATAGAGATGAAAAGCGCAATGCAAAGCTTGACAGCATTTAAATGCGGATATTAAACATCGTCGAACACTTCCTGTGACTGATACCTATACGTCTTGGATTAAAATGGACAAGGGTAATAAACAAGATAATAGTAGTACTAGCAATAATAACGAAGTGTATTTCTCGCCGTATCGAGGTACTGTGCCTACAAATGGACGGGTCATATTTACAAGTGCTACGTGCTCACGCATGCAGGGGTGTCAACGGATGCGGTTCAGATGAATTTAACCCTGACAAATTGCCAGTAAGCGCATGTTAACACTGCCGACGAGTTAGCCATGGATAGTGATCTCGTACGGAGGCAGGCTGGAAAAAGCACTGCGCGCCTGTGTCTAGGGATGTCAGATCAGACGCATGAGAGACGGATGCGCTGAGCTAACCCGCTGTAAGCTGAAATAGTACAGTGGTTAGTTTCCAACGCTTCGTTATAATGTTCGAGCTGCAGCTAGTGATCCGACCAAGTATAATGCCCACTTTATCCCGTACAAATGGCTCGCAATTCTACCTCGACTGAGTTCTCTCAAACAGGTCATTTCACGCAGTTGTTGTGTTGAAAAGCATTTGACGGCATTTGCATTCAAGCACGAATGTATACATGTACCATTTCCAGTGGAACAATGGAAATTAATCAACCGTGTACAGTGAGCACAGGAATTGAGCAAGATACACTGGGTGGTAGCTGATTATTCACCCATGCAGGGTGTATAGAGCAATCTTTTGACTTGACATGTAATTACTTGACTTGATCCAACCCCGAGTTAGCTTAGCGTGCATGCATTGGCTTAAACTTCCAATACAACTTGTCAATTACATATAACTTTCATCGCCCGCTAATAGCCTGTGAACACCTGACATGGATGTCAGAGTTCGGCGTTGATCTCTCTACCTTAGTACATGTTACTACAAGGCTTGGAAAGCTGAGGTAAGGTGCGATTTATCGCCTCTCGGATGAACCGGTCCAAGGAAGCGAGTATCGTTGGAGTCTGAGGACAGCACATCAAAATGATCAGAATTCAACCGATGTGTTCCCGAACTACAGAGATACTGGTTCAGATGAGCTGCCGGCAGGTCCGCTCAACCTGCCTACCCAAGAGCCTTCCAGCACTAGTGAAATAGTCACTTGGAAAAGAACATTAGGTAAAACTCACTGGATATACATACTCGAGTTGGCCGTTTGTTGAACTACCGGTGTAATCGCGCAGCCCCATTCGATTAACTGCTAACGAATGTGCATGTAGTGCCAATGATGTGTCAAGGTCACGCGCGACCTTTCATGGTCATCTTGGTTGTCAGCATCACTCTCAGTGCCAGTAGCTACGGTAATAAATTACCTCTGGCCGACTTAGTGTTTGTGGTAGTCATCACGAGGTCGAACGGTTCCCCAGCGTGCGTAAACAACTTCTGGGTACATTAGCACTGACTCCGGAGCATTGTTCGTTCCGGCTGTCGATTCTGTAGTGACGCATGAAATGTACTTATGTAAGGAAATGCCAGCGAACTGTGCCTAAGTGCAGGTAAACCAAGACTGAGCAGTGAGAAGTGAAACGCGAAGCGCAAACCCGATTTTCCGAGTATCGGCCTGCACAGGTAACATACATGTAGTCTGTCGGAATGCTCTCGTGTAGCATTGCAACTTCGGTCAGACATCACTGTTTGGATAAAGTGCTCCTTAAGTGAATCATTTGAGACACGCGATCTCAGTTTGCACTACAGATACATTTTAACGATTCCTCGCTGTATACAGTGCAACGATATGGACGATCAACATCTCTAACGCCGAACTAATGCAGTTTACTAAATGTCCCTTAGTTATCAATGGGGTACCACTGCTGGTGAAATAACGATTGAATTTCTCAGTCGGACACCAAAAATTCAAACTAAGAATGGACTTGCGCCCATCGACTATGTGCACGCGCAACCGTATGTCAACTTAGTAGGAGGCAGAGTCCATCCTTAGTGTCGCAACAACCTAACAATCAATGTGGTAAAGCCACCACACAAAATATCTTTGAACACAAAATCTAAAAACCATACTTTCAAAAACTAGATAGCCAAAAATTGCATTAAAATCAGAAGAAAAGAATTTGATAACTTGGACTGCTTAACATACGTTAATGCTACAAAGAGAGAAGCGGTCATGTGTCATGGGAGATTATGACAGTATTGAGACTAGCTCCGGTTGGCAATGGATACTCAGCTGACCTGATGAGTGCGGTGTTACGCTCAGAAGTTTCTTAATTACACTGTTCGGTGTAGATACGCCTTCGAAAGAGTTCGTCTACCCTGAGTCGAAATTCACCCTATGTGCTCGCTACCCCGGTAATAAGTAAGTGATACTAGATATCGATTCATCGAAAAGAATTGCTTTTAGGTGATAAATTCCACATCTTTTCTGGCCTTCGCACGTAAAAGCTGGTTGTCTTGAGTAGCATCAGAATCGACTGTCCTGAGAATTCGGTTGAACTGGAATGACTGATGCCTAGTTTGATCACATCTATATGTAGTTACATTCCACTCCATGCGTCTAGCACGTAACGGGAAAGCTGAGCGAATGTTATTGCGCCATCCTTTTGTCATGCAGCAAAAACATGGACGAAACACTTCCGTGTCCCTGAAATTGCATTGCACACAGAAGCGCCCTTATGATTGGTGAGGTCTGAAAGCTAAGCACACGACCCGACGACGATCAGCCATATCTGGCAGACGATCCGTCCTTGAGTAGTACGGAGGAATACGGAAATTAGCAGAAATAAATTACCATTAACGAAGCAGAGTATTTCATTCTAACTCGGAATATAAAACACCTGATCATCACAGACCCACCAATAAGTTAAGAAGCAGGTAGCTATCTATGAGATGCTCATTTATGAGTATGAATGATGTAACAGACTCCACACGACAAGGGCTAGATGGACTTGGGACGTAAGAAAAAGCCGAGAAGGGACGATGGTACCACAGTATTCACTGTAAGAGGTGTTTGATATGAAAACGAAAATATCTCGAAATACAAATTTTCCAACCCAACGCCTTGGTTCAACCAAGCGATCAGCTTTTCCGTTGAGAACGTAGAGGGATCATGCGATTGGGAGCTGATTCTAAGCCACAAAATCTGATATCCAAACGGATTGTCCATCTGTCTGCCGACAGCCTACTGTAAACCAAATCGTCGAGCGTGAAGAATACACCAGGTCCCAACTTAGAGAAACACCGTGGTATAAAGAAAGCAATCCGACAATTTGCTCACTTTTGTCCAGACCTTAGTCGTAGGTGCACAACAATCCTGTCAGCTCCGATGAAATGAAAGGTCACTAGGTACGTCTGCATTTAAATCGGTAACCTATATTGCTAAGTTGGCCTAGCCATTGATCATAGTGCACGTCAAACTTCTTCCTGATTGACTATACTCTTCTTCCTCCATGAAATACAACTTCATATCAACTTCAACCCTAATGTGTAATTTGTTTGCCACACCCAGCAGGGTCCATATAATCCGAAAACGCACTTGTGTCTTTCGTAGCACCGTCCGTTTTATTCGGTAGCGCATCCAACACGGATTCACTCACAGTTAGTAGCCATGCATTTCTCACGTCTTTCTTTTTCGGTAAACCATGTCAACATTTGCATCCGGGACAGCAAAGACTTCGGTTGAGCGAGTGACGGTGAGAGTGACAGTCCAAGAGTGGAGACGTGGTACCGAGCCAAACGATCACTTATGGGTCACATTACTTCCTCGCGGTAGTATTACGGACGTCAGAGAACCAGTCGTATGCACTACGAAAATAGTAAACATCAAATAATTTGGCACGTGAATTACTGTGCCGCTCGGTAAACGCAGTTTTCGATGACCACCGTGATGCTTCGGCGATTGCGCTCAACCTGAGTAGCCTAGAGCCACTGGAGACCTTTCGGGCAAAACGGCGACTGAAGAGGAACTATCAGAACTACCTGTAGAAAATTAACCAGCGTTATCAGAATCGTACACACGATAAGGCACAACAATCGGACTATATAAAATTTGCCTCACCATGGTCCGTGGAAATCTTGTCGCTGATCCGTTGTTAGTACACAGCTAGTCAGAAATAGAGGCGATTAAATCGAGACATCACATGGCTAACTTATGTGCAACCCACCCGATGAGTCAAGAATATGTCCTCAATTCACGCTGCATTGCAATGAACCACGAACGAAATTCAAAGGTAGCTGTATGCAGTCGTGAACCCCACCCCGACGCAGTCATTTCAGGTGAACACATCAGCCCTGTTCGCTTGAGCATTGGTGACATGGGATCCGTGGAGTGACTGCTAAACACTGTGAGGCTCCCGATCGAAGAGAGATGGGTTATCACAGAGCCTTACGGAAACTGGGAGAAGAATTTTCGGATAGACGGTAGTGGGTTCAGCAAAGAAATCTGCATGGATCTGTATCATGTTACGGCAGTTATGCAGAAACATTGGAACTTCTGCGGTCGATACGGAACGGTAGCCTCGCACCGCATACTGACCTTAGTGACGCGGAACGCGGAAAAGTACATTTAACCCCACATTTTGGTCTGGTGGCAACTGCTGCGTCGTACAACCTGTTCTGGCGGAGACCTCGGCTAAGCCACGAGCACGAAGTCACACACACACAGGACACACTCAGAAACAGCCGGAGTGGTGCGAAGTGTAGTCACTTCACCCGTACCCAATGTGCACACAAGATGGCCGTGAGCAGGTTGCAACATTGGGGTCACGCGGAGGCCAAGGTTGGAACCGTACAGAAATACAACAGCTTTGACTGACGAACGTGTGTTGACCTTAAGCTGACAAATTTTTAGCGCATTTACCCGGTCTCGAGCGGCGCTGACCAGGACTACACGTCCCTTGAGATTTCTGTGGTGCTGTTGCGTACGCCACTCCAATGAAAAAAACCAGACAGCCTTGGTAGCAGCAAACCGATTACCCGTATTTTTCGTTTCGCAAGACCGTAGAAGTCATATCCAAATTTAGCATGAGTAGGTTAACCCAGGTTCCTGAACAAGGGGGACAGTATAATAAGCACCCAACCTGGACATCCGAATTCGTATTAGATCTTAAGCGGGGCACCCATTTTACAGGCAGCAAAGCTTAATGTAGTGGACCATTCGGTAGACGTTAATCATTTGGGTTTGATGAGGTGAAACGAACTTACCGAATCGTTCTTCCTGTCTCCCGTTTTATCATTGGTTTTTATCGAAAATTGTTGAACATTGGTCTTGGGGCTACAATCATCATCAGCGAGGTTCAGGTGCTTCAGATCTCCGTCGTGAACGGGAATCTTCCCCGCCACATTCCAATCTCGATGTAATCGTAGCCACCATCGACAGCATGCCGCCTTATTGATTGGTAATCCGCGACTTGGAGCGCGGCATGAAGATGCTTGACAGCGGGACACAGAAACGAAGCTGACGTCAGTGGCGCCGGTAAGCTGTTCGTTGTTCATTGCATTATCGATGGAATGTTGCCGACTCTGAGGATCGTTCGCATGTATGCGTTGGAGTGGAACCGAATTGGCACACAGTTGACAACGTCGGATAATCTTCAACTGTCTCAGGGCACATAAGATGATGGGTATCACTGTGGATGAAGAATCAGAACAGTGGCCTCGTTCCAATCGTAACTGAAGCTCCAGTGTAGATAACAGCTGAGAAAGCACTACCTGAGAATGTGGTAGGTGCTTTGGACACAGGCAACCGCATGTAACAATTCCGTTCAAGTAGTCTATTAATCTGCCAGCGGTTTTTGAATTCCACTTTGGACGGAGCTCATCATCAAAATGGGGGCATTCTTCTAGGGAGACTTGCCGAATCGGCCGTCCAATTTCCATCTTAAGATGAGCGCCAGCCAGTCTGTACCTGCTCACGGAATGTGTGGAGGTTTCGGCGAACACTACAGTCACACTCGTCTCTCAGCGCAGCAGGACGCGTGAATAAGTGCACTATTTACACCAACGACGAGTTGTCGTTCACCCATAGGTGGTTGCACAGGTTCGCACAGACGAGTCGCAGGTGGACGCACTGTCTACTTGCTTTTTCAAGATTTCCATCGCTTATTGGTACACAGAAAATTGGCAGTTAACGCTAACCAGTTAGACCACAGAAACACATAGTGCACTCCTCATTAGCAGCCAATCACAACAAAGCTCATGGGCCATTCGTCTAGCATGAGACTGGAGTACCGCGCTCACCTTACTGGTGGTATTGTCCGCTGGACATTACCGACTACCTGATTGCCATCGCTGGTGCGACTGAAGTCGGAGAATTGCTATAGAATAGATAAATAGACTTTATTCAGCAACTCCTAAATCACAGGTAGCAAAATTTCCCTCAAGGTTAAGACAAACGCGGCTTGACTTTGTGTCTAAAATAAATGAGTACGTCAGTATAATTCTTCTTCGATTTAATACAGGCCTAATGACGCGAGAGTTCGCAGAACTATGCAAACCAGACTCTGCAATGCTGCTGTAACACTGTGGTCTTCGAAATGAGGCTAAATTGCGATCGATTTGTTTCCTGTCTTTATTTACTTAGGTTGAGAAGCTATACGAAACTGAAACTGCCTCTACCGTTTTCTCAGTCGCCTTGTGTGTGTTTTGCCTACAGTCAAGTCGAAATCATGTCCTCGGGAGCAGCGGGCGATAGGCTCATTTTTGACGTATGCTGTGAACGGCCAGCTCCCTTTGCCCTTCTCTGAAGTGCTCGGGCTTAGGCAGTCCATTTGAAGGTTGCGCGATACATGGGGTACTTTCTTCAGTAAATAACCGAGAACATACGGAGTCTCAAATTTAAGACATTAGACAGGTCAACTCAAGACTAACCACGAGACTCGTGTTAGATTGATTATGGGAACGACAACGAGCGCATCACCAGGGCCTAAAAGCTACTTGGGGGTTGGAGATTAAACGTTGCGATTGTAAGTTACTGTACATCCACGAATCAGTTTAGATAATGGCATTCGTCTGCCGAATTGCCCAGGGATGCAAATCGATGAGAGTCACGGTGTTCCGAACTAGGACCAATAACTTCCAGCGCTCCTGGCGCTCAAGAGTACTTGGGCGAATAGGTCTCCAAGTGTTGCAAGAGCAACATCAGCATACTGGTCATTCTGTTTCAGCTTGAGGTGGTGGCCTCTCAAATTGCTGCTGGGATCGCCCTCTATCAAGTAGCGGCACGTGTTGTGAAGATCGGCTGCAGATCGCGAGCAGGCGAAGCCATCGTTCATATGGCAAATTAACCAAACATTTTTTATTCTTGTTTGCCTGACGTCGGGGTATCTGCAAGACGGTGCGATCGTTTCACCACTATGATTCCCAGATCTGCATTGCGTACTCCGCATTTGAAACTATGTACGGACAGAGAAGCTGCTGAAAAATCGACGGGTCGAATCGCCCGAATGCATATCTCAAGAGGCCCACATTTTGGATACCTCATATTGATGCCTACTCAGACTGATACGAAAATCTTAGGTCGGCCTGGACTAAAATGTCCAGATTACTTTCGCCAGTTCGTTTTGGAAGTTCCTGGTTACCGAGTTTTAGGAACACACCACCTGGTTCATTGTTTAGCACGCTACCTCTGCCCACTTTGAATCGAAGTAGATTCTGGATTGACTACGCCTATACCAAATCGAACTCGGCTTGAGGTACTGTGGCATCCTCTGGTGTACTGATCGAATGCCATACTTTGAGGTCATCGACAGTTTGCGTTTATGAGGCCCATCATTGATATGTATCAAAATAACCGTGGTCCAAGTACCGATCCTTGTTGTACTTTGCATTCAACTTGGATGACATCTGGTAGGGATTCACGCACTGTTATCTCTAAGCGCCGGTGTAGGAGAAAACTTCTGATCCATTCAAGGAGATGATCATCAAGACCAAAGGTCTAGAGTTTGGGGAACAGAACGTTATGCTTTAACCGTTCGAAGGAATTTGAGAAGTCGAGAAAAATTACATCGGCTCCTACGCTATTGTCTACTGTCACGATCCAGCTGGATCGTGTTAGCAATAGAGGTACAGTGCACGATTGATTTGGTCGAAAGTTATGCTATTCCGGTGCAAGGGCGCTAAATTCTTTTAAGTAGACCGTCAGCTCCTCATAAAAATAGCTTACATAAACTTTGCAAGTACTGGTAGCTGAGTTACTGGACGGTAGTTGGTGGGAGTAAGCATGACGTGTTTCCAAAAGATGGGTGCGTATACTTCTTCAAAACGGTGTTGGAGGGGAATCGAGACAGTCGCTGATAATCTCGCTCTTACCGCCGCCAGCAACTTCGGTCGCGTTTTCGACTGCACAAGAACTGTGCTCACGCAGACACAACCTCTCTTTTAGTACAGCTTCTGCAGTGAATAGAACGTGATTGAGTGTTGGGGACAAGACAAATATTGTCATGGGATGCCGTGCCGAGTAACCACACTGAAAGGTTGCAGCATATTGCAGGCGCAGGGTATTCGCCACATCCTTCGGGGTACGTGTCAGTCCCTCCGTTGTTTGAAGAAGGAGAATTCCCGGTTTCACATTACGTCCACTGTTCACGTGTTTCTACAGAATTCTGTGGTTTGAGGCTATGCATCTTGCCAGATTTTGCTGTATGCTATCCTATCCTCGAGAACAAGCTGAGTACATTGGTTACGATGAGTCGATTTGACCATTCAGATCTCGGTGCTCGAAGAGAGTTTGAACAATGAGCAATGACTTATCACGGAGCAAAAGCAATTGCTTGACACGTCCCGTAGAATGGTTGGGGTGAATATGTTGAAATCAAGATATATCTGAGTCAGTGTAAAATTAAAAAAGCAGGCGTAAACGTTCAGAAATACACTGGGGTGGAGTGAAGGTTGATGTAAGGCGTGAGAACAGTAACATATGGTCGCTCACCTGGGTCCACTTGAAAAGCATGCTTGGCGTAATCCACAATAGAGGAGTTTGACTAACGAAATGCTGGGAGCTAAGAGCAACATCTAATCGTTTTTTGTAATGTCCAAGGTAAGAGATGATACAACCGAGTCTGAGAGTGCGTTTTAAGGTAGAGAAACCCGAAGGGAAAAGTAATTACGTCGACACTCTAGGCGACTATATAGTTCCTTCAATTTTAAGCGGTTACCCCTGAGCTGCGTGTTGTGACTAAGTTTCAGCAAGTGCCAGCATACGTAGTTTGGGTCACTCAATATCTGATACGCTAATATCAGATCGCCGCGCAGCCTTCGAGAAGGTCAGTTGAAAATTCCCAGCAACTTCAGCCTTCGGTGTTAAGAGTGATGGCGCAGGCCCTTTACATTCTTTGTTGCTGTTCGTTGTGGTGCCTCTAACGCTTCTAGATCGCGTTTCAACCAAGGTTGCCAAGCTTTGATTGCGTATTCAACATGCGGGCGCACGTAGGAATTGTGCATCATTGGGAAGATTGATGGGTCAAATCTCCTGAATATTCTTCGCAGCATGCCGACGTGCTGTTTGCCTCTTTTTGTAGCTACCTCAGCCTGTTTTGAACAGTTACGGTCGCTCTGTACGATCACACCAAGGTCACTTTCCTGGGAGCTGGTCTGCAATCCGTTTGTCTCAAGTAAATAGGTGTAGTTATGTCTATGGCGTAATTGCACAACGCGATATTTGTCTACGTTGAATAGTAGGGCAGTTCGAACTGACCAGTTCGACACTGTGTTAAGATCGCACTGCAGCCGTTCATGGTCGTCCGGTCCTCTGATCCTTCGCCCTATCATGATATCATCAGCGAAAAATAGGAAATCAAAAGCAACTGATCTCGCCAAATCGTTAATGAACATCAAGAATAGGCGAGGTTCCACTTATTCGAGCAATCATGTCATAGCACCTGATGCTTTGCGTTGGGTCGGCAATTTCCATTGCATATTCCACATAACAGATATATCCGAAGAATAGTGTTACAGGATCGCTACAGCCCAATGTGACGTCGACGATCCCGCTCTCGATCACCAGTACTTCGTTGGTAAATATCTGATACAGAATAGACGGCTTATCTGTTTCTCTGATTATGGTGGACATGTTAATGTGGGCATACAGAGAGCAAGTGGAGACAAGCTTTAATAGATCCGCCTTAATCGGTTCTCTAGGAGCTGCTTGAAATTCCAGAGCGTGGATGTTGAAATCGCCAGTAATAAGAATGTGACTGCACTACATTTTTATCACCCGCCTTAGTGCGGATGCCAGCTAAAAGTCCATCTCGAGTATGCAGGAGGGAAGGCGGTAAACGACTGCAACCAATGAACACTGAACAATGATTTATCAAGGGTACAAAGCATGTGCTTGACAAGTCCCGTAGGATAGTTGGAGTAAAAATTAATTTGAAAGGATCAGTGAATAAGTAAATCGTCATTTTAAGCTTCTCCCTATTTAAATGCACTGCTGCATAAGGATGCTTTGAAACGGGAGTGGAATGTGCGCAAACAAAATAATATCGAGAACAGTTGTAGTTTAGTAACTCTGTGAGAAAGAAAACAAAAAACGACAGCGCTTACTCGTGTGTTGCTTCATTTGACCGATGTGATACGTTAATTCAGTTTAGATACATCCGTGCTACTCACAAGGACACTTATTGAATGTATCTTCGCCGCCACATTGCGGAGAGGGCCGTAAAGTACATGGTTTGATTTGCGTTCTTTCGACCTCCGAATGGAAAGCACTACATCAAGTACTGTAAGTTGGAAAGCGTGTCGTCAATGAGCCTTTTGAAAAGCGTTAATGTTGGGGAAAGGATGAAATGAGTCGGAAGGACGTTCCAAGCACGGGACACACCCAGTGAGAGAACGTTTCGTCGACGATCAACTTGCTTGCAGTGCGTAGCTGGTTTGAGCTG